CGCGCGTCGTCGCCCGCCCGCGGCTCCCGGCTCCCGCGGGGTCGGGGGCGCTGAGGACGCTCCAACCTCTGCAAAACCCTTTCCCTGGCCCCAGGGTGCCCTTTGGACATCCGCTGGGTGCTGGGGGGGTACTTTGCTTTTAGGAGAAAAGCATTTTTTTTAAATTTTTTTTTGGGGTGCCGCTTTTCCCATATCTTTTCCAGAGTCTTTACGCTCCCGGGAGCTCAGTGACTCTGCCCTGGGGAGGTCCGTGTTGCCGCTGACGAGATGTTATCAGCAGCGACCCTGTTGCTGGGTGAAAAGTCTCCTGGTTGCTCTATTAAAAAAGCAATATTTCAACCTCGTGATTGGGGCACAAAATAAGACTGAAGCTGGATGGGAGCAGAACCCAAGGGCGTGATCCAACAAAAGCCTCCAATACCTCTTACTGGGACAAAATGCCAAGAAGGTTTTGGCGAATCCTCCTTGTTCTAAAACCGAGGCAGCGGATTTGGATGTCCTAATGGAGACACCGAACACCCACAGGTCCTTCAGGTGCTTAGCAGGAAGGGCTGCTTTGGATGGGCCCTGAAGCCCCCAGGGAGAGAGGGCGACAGAAGTGCTGGATGGATCTGACGCTGGTGATGGATTTACCTGCACAGCCCTGCGTTGACCCTGTGCCGAGGCCGAGCGGCCGGGCCGGGGCTGCAATCGCTGCTGGAGCAGCTCACGTGGGTCCCGGCCTCTCATGCCCGTGCTGGGACTGCGGCCATGGACAGAGACCAGGCCCTGGTCCTGGTCCTGCACCTTCATCCCCAGAGCTCAGCTGTTGGAGGTGTCTTCCCGGCTCCTCCTCCACTGCTTGGACAGGCTGGTCAGCGCAGGGGAAATTTTGGAGCCTTGTGAATTCAGCAGTGGCTACAGACGCCACCAATTTTAGGATTTTCTGCTTCAACCGAGGCATGTGCCGGCTCATGACCCATGCGAGGTCCTGTCTTGCAACCTTGGCCACATGTAGGAGATATCCCGGACCCGCTCCAATCCCTGGGAGCACAGGAACCACCCCCGCAGCTGCCCAAGCCCCCTTTCAATGTGAGGATGCACAAGGAGCATCTCGGACCCGACAGCCCAGGCAGGGCCCAGGGACCGGCTGCTGGGGAGAAACCACACGGGGACCCAAAGCTGCGCCCAGGATCGTAGCTACTCCTTTATTATAAATCATGCCGTTACGTTGCTCCTCCTCAGAGTTAGTATTTTAAACATTTTTCATTATATATATCTATATAAAAAGGTGAAAACACCCCCCCCACACCCACCCATTCCCTTTTCCCCACCCCCAAAATGCCAGATGGAGCACCGTGCCGAGAGGGAAAACAAATTCAGGCCTGCTCGGCAGCCAGGCAGATTTGTTGAGCACCAGAGAAGCGGCAACTGCCCAACGAGCAGGGCAAGAAGCCCTTGGGGCCGCTCAGCGTGGGGTTTGCCGGAGGGCAGAGGACCGAGCTCATCCCCACACCCTATGGATGCTGTGTGATGGGACCGGGGGGCTCAGATGAGCTTTTCCATTTTTGTGATGCAGAAAGGCCTGAAAATAATAACAATAATAATAACAACAACAATAATAATCAAAAGCACATGCTTTGTACATTGGAAATTCAGATCTCATCCAGCCCCCTTTGCTCCCGCAGGCTCCCATGGAGGGACCGGCGCCGGGCTGTGCTAGGAGGGAGGAATTTCAAGGCTGCTGCCCGTGCGCTGGAGGCTCCCGCACGGGCACCGTGCGGCCGCGGCGGCGCCCGGCAAGGCCGGCCCTGGGGGCAGAGCCCCTTTGGGCCCCACGTCACGGCTCGGCAATGGGACCGTGCGAGTGCTCTTGCATCCAGCCTTGCGGCCTTCCCGCAGCCCGGAAGGTCTCTGACTCCCATCAACTGACCGTACAACCGTGTGCACCGGGCCCTGACCTCGGTGCACGCTTTGACATGGCAGGAAAAATGGGGGGATCTGAGGACATTCGGAGAGTTTAGTAACCCCCGGTGACACCGGTGCTGCTGCTCTGCTCCCTGCACGACTTGCTCTCCATCACCTGCCGCAGGACAGGTGGTGGGTGCAGATGCAGAAGACAAGCTCCCTGCTCCCACCTCACAGCGTCTCTGACCTTTGCACAGAGGTCGGCAGCACTGAAATCTCCTCCTTGTGTCCCCTGTGAAGCCCCCCGGGAAATGCAGTGGTGGGCAACAC